GTGTTGATCTTGAGGCTTGTTTCTGCGTGATTGCCTTAGTGTTTGAGTGGCGGTTGTCAGCTAGGTCTTCGCCATTTTCTTGGAGTGAGTTTTTTGGTTCTTCTACGGTGCGTTGCTGTTCCAGTTTGTGAGTGCCTTTTGTTGTTCGTTCTTGGTTTTTGGCGTCACTCTTCTTGTTCTGGTTTCTTTGGCTGTTGTGATGGATTCATCAAAGTTTGATTCGGTTACTATCAAGTTCAATGGTCGGAACTTTTCGCTCTGGGAATTTCAGTTCCGAGTTTTTGTACAAGGCTGTCGTCTTCTCCCGATCCTGAACGGGTCCTTGCCGGCGCCTGCCGCCGATGCTGCAGCTAAGGAAATTGAGGACTGGGAAATCCATAATGCCCAGGTCATTCACTGGATTGTTGGTTCCTGTGAGCCTGCTATTGCATTAAGTTTGAGGGGATTTTCAACAGCTCACGAGATGTGGAAGCATCTTATGCGCTGCACTCCCAATTGAGCGCGTCGCGGAAGTTTGAATTGGAGGTAGACATTGCTCGTCGTCACCAAGGGGATATGGATGTTCGTACATATTATCAAACTCTGGTCAGCCTGTGGACCGAGCTTGATTTGTTGACTTCTTCCTCGATTTCGGCTGCTGCTTCCTCAGAGGTTCTTAAGGAACGTGCTAGTTCCCGTCTTATGTATTTTCTTATGAATTTAAGGCCTGAGTTTGAAGGTGTTCGGTCATCCTTGCTTCATCCTAATGTTTCCACGATTGAGGATGTATTAGGAGAGCTTATTCGTGAAGAGACGAGATTGCGTAGTCAGGCCAAGATCGATCTTCACTCTTCCGATGCACCTAGTTCGTCCGTTTTTGCTGTCTCGTCTGCCGGGTCCGGCGCTGCGTTGTCTTCGACTCCCTCGGAGCCTGCTGCAGCGTTTGTGGCCACTGATAAGTCGCGGTTCCTTCGTACTCCTTCTGGGGAGGTCATCTGCCATGATTGTCGAGAGTCGGGCAATGTGCAGCGGCGGTGTCCCAAACGTATCACTTGTAATTACTGCAAAAAGGAGGGGCATGTCATTAGTGATTGCCCGATTCTTGCCCGTCGGGGTGGTCCACGTTCCACTGGAGCTTCTTCGACCTCGTTTCGGCCTGTTCCCTCTGCTTATGCTACTGTGGCTGCTGCGCCTTCTCTCCCGGCTGATTCTCCTACTTTGCGAGAATCTCTTCGCCAATTAATGCAGGAGGTTCTAAAGAAGACTCTTCCCTCAGTTTTGGGTTCAGTTTTTACCACCGGTAAGCCTCTCTCCTCTCTTTCCTCGGATTGGCATTTGGATTCGGCTGCTTTTAATCATATGACAAGCTCTCGATCTTCCTTTACTGGTCTAACACCTGCTCCGGGTGTGCATTTACAAGTGGCTGATGGAACTTGTATTCCTGCTCACGGCATTGGCACTGTTGAGCATCATGGGGTTAAGCTTAACAATGCTCTTTATATGCCTAATCTTGTTCCGAATCTTGTATCTGTGGGGCAGTTAACTGAGGGTGGTTGTCGTGTTACTTTTGATTCGCATGGTTGTGCTATACAAGACACGATGTCGGGGGAGGTGATCGGCCTAGGGACTAAACATGGACGGATCTATACTTTGGACTCTCTTGCTAGGGATCGACTGGGAAATGGGAAGATGGAGGTTGTTTCAAGTGATTGTCGCCGAGGGGTTCCAGATGGTGTTCGAGATGGGTCTTCATGTTTTTCTGTTGAACTTTCTAATTGGGAGCTTTGGCATAGTCGTTTTGGTCATCCCCATTCGGCCCGGTTGTTGGATATGTTTAAGACGAAGTTGTTACCTGGATCTATTTCTCCTCTTGACTCTCGAGATTGTGTTCATTGTGTGCTGCTAAATTATCTCAGCACTCATTCAGTTTAAGTACTACAAAATATACTGAACCTTTTGCTTTAGTTCACATTGATTTATGGGGTCCTGCACCTGTCAATTCGCGTGTTGGGTTTCGTTACTTTGCATTATTTGTGGATCATGCTACTCGGTATACTTGGGTGTACTTTCTCAGGAATTTTTTTGATTTACTTGGTGTGGTTAAGGAGTTTTTTGCTATGGTACATACACAGTTTGGTCGATCGGTCAAGGTATTGCGCTCTGATCCGGGTGGCTAGTTTGCCTCAGGTCCTCTTCAAGAAGTGTTTCGGGATCGCGGTATTCTGCCTCAACAATCGTGTCTGGGTGTGTCTCAGCAAAACGGGTTGGTGGAAAGAAAACATCGACACGTTGTTGAGCTTGCGCGAGCTCTTCTATTTCAGTCTGGCGTTCCTACTAATTTCTGGGTGGAAGTTATTCACACTGTCTTTTACTTGATTAATCGTCAGCCTACTTCCGTTTTGGACCACAAAAGCCCGTACCAAGCTTTGTATCAACGTCTCCCGAAGTATGATTGGATGCGGGTCTTTGGCTGTGTTTGCTATGTGTTACTCCCACGCCGTGAACATCACAAATTTGCTCCTAAAGCGATTAAGTGTGTTTTTGTAGGTTACAGCGAGAAGCACAAGGGTTAATCGTCGGATTCAGATATCATGTGATGTTGTTTTTCTTGAACACCTACCATATTACTCATCCTCGGCGGAAGCACAGCAGTTAGCTACTTAATTTTTTCAGCCCATGGTTGAGTTCTCTTCTGAGTTGCCGCCTTCTCTTGATCCCCCCGATCCACCCTCTTCTGTTCCAGGTTCTTCCTCGGCTGGGTCCACTTCCGCATCCTCACCGTTCTCTTCCTCGTCCGAGAGTTCCAACTCCTCGGATGATTCAGGCTCGCCGCCAACTTCACCGCCAGCCGAGGCGCCTGTGGTTCTTCGCCGTTCGGACAGCTTTACTCGAGGTCAACCCCCTATTCGCTACAATGATTTTGTAGCCTTTTCCATTCAACATGTCCCTGTTCCGGCTTCTTATAAACAGGAACATGGGCGTAAGTGTTGGGATAATGCTATGGATGTAGAATTTGCAGCATTGGAGTCTTCTCACACATGGGATGTTGTTCCTTGGCATCCTCAATATTCTGTTATTGGTTCTCGGTGGGTCTACACTGTGAAGATGCATCCGGATGGCACGATTGACCGTTTTCGTGCTCAGGTGGTTGCACAAGGTTTTAAATAGGAGTTTGGGATTGATTATGATGAGACGTTTGCTCCTGTTGCCAAAATGCAAACTGTTCGGGCTCTTCTGATGATGAGACGTGTGGATGATATGTTATTAGTGGGGATGATGAAGATGGTATCCAATTGCTGACTCAGGCGCTGCGTTCTGCGTTTAATCTCAAGGAGCTATGTGATTTGTCTTATTTTCTGGGTCTCTAAGTCCATCGTTCGAAGTCTGGCTTGCTGGTGTGTCAACAGAAGTATATAGTGGATTTACTTGAGACAACTCACATGGATGATTGTGTTCCGTGTGCTACTCCCATGGAGCAGAACCTTAAACTGCGTAAGATGGATGGTGATTTACTGCCTGATGGTTCGTTTTATCGGAGTATGGTGGGGAGCCTTATTTATCTCACGCACACTCGTCCTGATATTTGTTATGCGGTTTAGGTGGTAAGTCAATTCATGCAAGCCCCCCGTACCTCTCATTTGGCAGCTGTTAACAGGATTCTTCGGTATCTGCGTGGGACTCAAGAAGTCGGTTTATTCTTCCCAGCATCAAGTACCCCTGTCTTAGAGGCTTTTGCTGATGCTGGTTGCCTCGATACTAGACGTTCTACGTCAGGGTGGTGTGTGAAGATGGGACAGTCATTCATTTCTTGGAGATGTAAGAAGCAGGAACGAGTGTCGAAATCGTCCACTAAGGCAGAATATCGATCGATGTCTGAAGCTACCTCGGAATTGGTTTGGCTTCAGCGACTGTTGGCAGAAATTGGTGTTGAGTGTCAGACCCCTATGCGTTTGTTTGGTGACAATACCAGCGCGATTCGAATTGCTACAAACCCGGTTCTTCATGATCGGACCAAGCATATTGAGGTCCATGTGCATTATATTCGTCAGCTTGTGTCTGAAGGACAAGTGGAGCTTTCGTATATCACGTCAGAAGAACAGACTGCGATTTGTTGACGAAAGCAGTGGCTACTGCTCGACATTGGTTTCTGGCTTACAAATTGATGTTGTGTAAGCTACATCAATTTGAGGGAGGCTGTTAGAAGATTAGGTGCTGGATTGTAATTAACCTTGGTAGTTTTTGGTTAATTACCTTCCGCAGCCTCTAGCTTAGGGTTTATGGGCGGCCTATATATATATATGTCATCTGTAACTCTTTAGCCTTTGGAAGCTACATAATACGATTGACTCCGAGAGGTTTCTCCCTCTCCGTGGATTAGTCTCAACAATACGTTGAGGATACCACATTAAATTCGGTGTTTCGATTATGCTTTATTTCGTATTTTGACATGTGAAGCTGTTGCTTTGGGCTTCATATGGTTAATTTACGGATAAGAATTGACAATTTGAATTCAATTCACAAATTCAATTCAATTTATCTAAGCTACTGAGCTTACCAGGCAGTTTGTGAAGCTGTTGCTTTGGACTTCGTATGGTTAATTTATAGATAGAACTGACAATTTGAATTCAATCCACAAATTCAATTCAATTTATCTACTTAAAAAAGTGTTACTAATTCAATCCATTTAAATCAAGTTTATTTAATTCAAATTCAAATAAATTGGTGGATATTCATGGATATATGAAAAATTACAATTTAGTACCTTAGTTTTTATATTTTACAATATGATGCTCAGTTTTTATATTTTACAATATGATGCATAAAATGTATTTTTAATGAAAAAGCATTCATAAATTATATTTTGGTATCTTATAACCACATTTTGGATCTAAACTTTTCAAAATTTACATAATGGTCCAATTTTTTATACCACTTGAATCCATAAATCCACTAATCTAATCTATTTACCACCTCTATTCACCGATCATCATTGGGGTAAACAAGAGTAAGAATGGACTACTGATCCGCAGTCAATATGCTTGCTTTCTCTAGCTAGTAGATACAGAAAAATTATGGGTTTACAATTCGGAAGCTAAAAGGAGCAAAAGAAGGAACACTCATGATAAATAAAAAAGCAAATAAGATGAAACAATCATGAATAGCCATGTCCAAGAAGAAGATGAAGGAATGGGAGTAGAAGAGCTCCCGGTGACGAAATTTGGCAACCATGATGTGTCGATTCCCAGAGGCCCATCGCCTGATTCCGGCGGACCTTTATCGGAGCCCGTCGTCGCCGATATCGACAGTGGCCCAACATTTGCAGACTTTTGACTGTATAAATCAAGAAATAAAACAAAAAAAATACTATAAATATTTCACCCACAAGCTAATAAAGGGATGAGAAAATGTTCTTTCTACTTGTACACGCTTTATATTTGGCTTTAGCAACGCAAAAAGTAGGCCTTGCCAACGAAGCAAGATAAAAAAAGGAGAAAGAATATTCACCCTTCCAAATCAGAATCTGATTATCATTCACCTTTTCTTACTACAGGAAATTGTTGATGGAGAATGTTATCGGACGTTGAGATGGCCTAATTTCCATTTAATAACTTGAGTTTCGACAATATTTGATTCAACTCCTCTCTCATAAGTTGAATTTGCACACCATTTTATGTTCATAAAATTCCTTAAGTCCTTCTTATGATCACTTCGTCTCATTTATTTAAATCAAATTGAAGCATAACCTAGTCTTTTAGTTATAAATCACGTAACAACGAACGTCTAATCTTTTTGTTCTCCTAATTTAGATGGTCGAATTACTACGTTGTTTCTTTATGAATCATATAACATTGACTACACCCGCTACCCTACAACTCACACGTGTTATTTACAGCAAACAAAGGACTAGATTTTATGATTCAAAACATACGACGATCTATATCGTAAAATTTGTGAAACTTAGGGACCGACTTCGTCTCACAGAAAATAGCTAAGCAAATTCTTTAGTTACCTCGTGGAAGAAGGGCAGAATGTGATCACATAATCGGCTCCACCACAAGTGAAAGTGCTCGATGCGTCATCATAAGCGTAGCTATACGCCCGGGGGCAAGCCGACTTGAACATCTCCGAATAAACCGACGGCTTACACGTGTCAGGCGACCCGAACTCCCCGCTACAACAATACTTGGGTGTCCCAAACGCCTCGCAGGCGCTCTTGCAGGCCGCGCCCGACCCGTCCCGAAGCTCCGACGGGCACTGCCGGTTCAAATCGGTGATGCACCCGGTGGACGAACAAGACCCGCCCGACCCGCCCGTTGGCTCGACCATCATGGGCAAGTTGTACCCATCGACGAGGCTGACGTCATAGTAGTCTTGCCCACCGGGGACCACCGTGAACTCTGCCAGCGTGGCAGGTGGCTTGGCGTTCTGGCCATTGCATTCGATCTGGTTTGATCCGCAGTCTCCGGTGGTACAGGTGCCTTGGTTCATGGACGGGTCGAACTGGCAGTCGGTCCTGCCCCAGAACCGGCCGGACCAGCTGGGTGGGGCCTGCAAGGTTCGGGTCCCGCCGGAGGGGAGCTCGAAACCGGTGCTGTCTAGTGGCTGGCTGCCCGCATTGGCCAGAATGCCTGGCCATATTGTGGATTGACATTTGTTCACCACTGTGAATGTAGCTCCTTGGATTCCTGCATTTACGAAATCCACGGTAAGGTGAGATAGTGATTGAATTTTGAAGAATCCATGGTTTCAATTATTGGATTTGTATAGTAGAAATGAAAAGGAGGAATAATTAGAAGTAACAACTGTAGTTTGGAAATCTTATATTCGAGCTATAAGGTGACGAGAAAAATAAGAAGAAAGTGCTGAAAACTAAATTATCATTATTTGCAAGAAAAATAGTGCAGAACAAAGGGAAGAGTGGAAGAAGACTGATGTTACCTTTGACCAAGGAAAGCAGAGCGAGGGAGAGGAACATAGAAAAGAATGATAATGATGAAACCATTTGTTGGGGGTTTCAGAATGAATGAGCGAAAGTGTTTTTTTTGTCAAGGATGACACGTATAAATCGAAAAAACGATATAGATCAGGTGCTAAGAAATCTTGTGGGTTGTACAGTAAAAGAAGCTAGTGTTGTGAGGAGAGATGAGGTGAAGGAGCAAGGTGATGACTAGGAGAAAGAAAGACAATGGTGGAAAGGAGGCTTCTTTGGTTGATAAATAGAGGCAAGGAAAGATAGGAGATGGGAATGGAATTTCCTGCTCATACAATATTGGGAGAATCCAAGGAGAGACTCTGAGAGAATGGTGGATGGAAGTTGGAGAGAGGGCAGAGGAAATGGGAGAAGAATATGTTGGTGGGAAGGAAAGTTTAGGTGAAGGAGCTTGGAGGGTGTATTTATATATAGTTGTAGTGGAGGTTGGAGATTTTTTTTTTTTTGTCAATAAGTAGTTGGAGATCCCTGTTTTCATTTGTCTAGTAATGTTAACCTAAACGGGATGAAAATACCCAAGTAAGAGTAATTTTGCCCCTTCTTTTAAATAAGGAATGCATATACATTTTATTAAACAATACCGATCAATTTGACAAAAAATATTGATTAACGATATCGAAGTCAATATAAAATTTTGGTGATATCAAATGTATCCCTACTTTTAACATATCCGGTATAACATTCAGTACAATTTTCCTCGATACACATAAGAATTACTAGCTCAATTATCAATTCAAATGATTTGGAATTGTTTCTTCATCACAACTTGAAGAAATGTGATTAAAGTAAAGAGAGAAGAAAGGTACGATGGGAAATTTGAACACCATGTGTGTATACAAATACAGTGAAAGAAAATAAGAAACGGGCTTTCTTTTTCTTGCTTTCATTCTTTCTTTTTGGCATGCAGTCATGTTGGTGTATAGTATAATTATCTTCTTCCTCGTTCGCCCATCCTTCAATCGTCCTGATCTGCTACTGCTGGCAAGATAAGAAAAGCGCAATTCATCATCGTCACCTTTGAAATATTATTTCTGTTACTTTGCTTTATATCAATAGCTATCGTCGATGGTCTTCCTTCCTTTCTTTCTTCTTCGCCACCTTTTATCTTTTGCCTTGTCCATTAATTAAAATGAGGATAGGTGAAAGGAGTTAGGTTGAAGCGAGGAGAGGCTATATATAGTCCACCTTGAATTTGAAATAATATGATCAAAATTACATGTAAAATTTGTAAGAAATTAAAAATAGACTAGTCGGTAAGACTTAATGTCCCTCGCCCAGTTATCACGATTCAAGACAGTCCTCTTCTTCAATTCTCCGACGCTCATTCAAATTTCCGATTCCACCACCGATGAAAATGATATATTGAGTACAAGTCTCGCCCTCTATTGTATATATTGATCCATCCCTTCATATAACTTTTTTTTTCTTGTTTGACGACCTCATCGGTCGCCTTTAATTGGAGGGAGGCCATGCATTTGTTTGTATTTTCTCCAAAAAGATCTCTATTTGGCCTTTGCTTGCTTGCATGAGTGGCCTTTGGAGTCAACCAGTCGTCGTATTTTGCCTTTACTCGGCTCAATTTGTTGTAGTGGAGGACCCAAGCATCGGCAAGATGGTCATTTACAAGAATATTTGTTTTGTTGTTGTTTGTTACTCTGAAGCGTCTTTAAATTAATGTTGAGATATTTCTAATAACAAAAAAAAAAAAAAAAAAGAAGTTCAAGATATCTTCTTGACCTTGATTGTTGAAGAGAGGGAGTCTAGAATATAATTGTAACACATAGTTGGGTTAATTTGGTGAGATACTTAAAATATAAAAACCGCACTACATATAGTACTCATTACCATTCCTTGTCAGAATTAGAAAAAATTCATCCAAAAATTAGATAAGTTGAATTTTCTCCAAATAAATTAATTCGAGATTGGTTATTTCACCATTCCAAACATGCATCCATCTGTCTGAGAAAATGGAACCAAAGCAACCAGTTGTGCATTGAATTGACCAAAAAGACATGGCGAGAAAGCGAAGGATGAACACGGGGACCAAATTCATCGAAAGAGATATTTAGTGTTATATAAGAAACCTAATTAATTACCATATAGTACCTATCTTCGAATGCAGGGGAAACCAAGTTTACTTTTCCTGTGCTAGCTATATTCAAGACTGAGATAAGCTAATTAAGTCATTAATCCTCTAGCATTAGCCAAGTTCGAAGTTTGGCTTCTCTTGGAGAAGTTTAATTAGTTAGTAAAACCTCATTTCCTTGAGGACAATAATTAAGTTCAGTTCAAGGTAGAATCTTGAATGACTAGGAGATAAGCAGCCTGATCATTACCAACAAGATAAGTGCTGATATATGTTTTTGGCTGCTTGCGCACAAGAAGATCATTAAAAATGAAGCTCGTCGTTGGTTTGAAAGGACTAGGAATGTAAGATTAAATGCAAGAATGTGAAGTCTTCGTATATATTTGTGGATTTGATTCACACAATCCATATATCAATTGACCAAAACTCCTTATCATTGATAAAGTTGTTGGCCTGCTTCGCTTGCTTTCATGAGCGTGTCGAGTATCAAATTTTTCATAATTTTTCAAGAAAACAAATTTGTAACTATTTATGAGAATTGGTAGTCTCAAATATATGTGCGAATTAAGAATTATTCAATATTGGAACCCACGTACATTTGTGGATGCATCTTTAACAATATACATCACCAACTTTAAATCTAGCCAGCCTGCTCGAAGTTTAAGAAAGAATCCACGCACCAAGAATCTCGCGATCTGAGACCCTTTGTTTCGGTACTTTTAATTAGGATTTGATTATAGTATTATTTTTTTATACTTAGATCAAATTGCATTAAGAATAGGCAGCCAATAGCAAAAACACTATGGCGCTCCTCGGAACAAACAGTCTGTACAATAATCAGCCAAGCAAAGGAAAACTACCCCAAGTCCCTAGCAATGAAGCAATCCAATAAGCTCTGATCAAGCATACATCGATACTCAATAATCCATTTTGCTTGCGCAACCAGCTGTGATGGAGATCGAGCCCTATTTAACCCATACATTCTAGAGCATCTCTCCCTCCAAACCAAACTTAAAACAACACTCCATGATAGCCTATTAAGCCGTGTAGAGGCAGAGTTCCCACCCCAGTGAGTGACACGCCAGCGCAATACTTCTGGCCAATCAACAAACAATGGCGGCGGAGCAGTCTTCAAAACCTGCACAAGCATATATCTCACATATGCACACTCCACAAATAGGTGATGTCGAGTCTCCAACCCACCAGGACACAGCAAGCACAAGCCCGATACAGGCTTTCCCCAGGAGATAAGGCGATCCTGCAGCTTCAGTCTGTCCTGTATGATTAACCAAAGAATGAAACTGTGACGAGGAATAACAACATTATCCCAAACCAATTTTTCCCAAGGCACAACACTGCTCTTCTGGCGAAGTGATTGCTAGACCCTCTTGATAGAGTATGTCTCTATAATCTCTCCATCCCATGCCAAGCCCCCCTGCAGCAAGGAAATAAAAGGCCTAGCCATCTCTCGACACTTCAAAATCCTCCTTTATATCCAGGAAGATGCAGATGAAGGCTTAAGATCCCAGACTGACTTGTTCTTGACACGATAGCGATGAATCCAGGCTACCCAAAGTGATCCCTGCTCAGCAAGAACTACCCAAAAATGGCGAAGCACACAGGCCTTATTCCAGATTGCAAACCCACGAATCCCTAAACCCCCCTCCTTGTTAGGCCGAGCAAGGAATTCCCAGGAAACCACAGCCCTTGTCCTCAATGATGAGTCAGTTATATCCCATAAGAACTTACTGCAAATAGATTCTACTTCCTTAATGACAAACTAAGGAGAAAGATTCCCATCCAATTATGCAAAACACTAGCCAAAACAGATGTGATAAGCTGTAGTCTCCCAGCGAAACTCAAAGTTCTTGCCCTCCAACTTGAAATCTTAGCTGTGATTTTATCTATCAAAACACGACAGTCTGCTCGAGATAGTTTACCAGTAATAAGAGGGACTCCCAAATACCTTACAGGCAAGGCCGCAAGGTACCAAGAGGGAACTTCGAATAAGAGGAAATAAATTGTTGTTCAGCTTCCGAGATCCCCCCACAAAACAGCTGACACTTATCCGGATTGCATTTAAGGCCAGAGACTTTATAGAAAGCATCAAGAACCCTACATATCCCTGTCACCCCTCTTATAGAACCATTCGTGAAAACTAGTAAATCATCGGCAAAACACAGATGTGTAATTGCCAATGGTTTACATCTAGGATGAGGGGGAATTTGGTTTTGTCTAACTGCTAATTCAACATGCCATTCAACACTTCCATGGCAACAGTAAATAGATATGGAGACAGGGGGTCTCCTTGCCTTAGCCCCTTTCTCATCTCAAAGAATCCACAAACTCCACCATTCAGCACTACACTCACTTTAGAAGTACAAACACAAGCTCTTAACCACTTTCTAAACAGTTCAGGTATTCCCATCTGACTAAGAACAGAAAACAAGAAGTTCCAGTCCACTTAATCAAAAGCTTTCATAATATCGATTTCACAGCACACCGTGGGGAAATTTTGTTCCTATGATAGTCTTTTACTAACTTTGATGCTAAGAGAATATTATCACTAATGGATCTTCCTCTAATAAAAGCAGAATGAGATGTAGAAATAAGACATGGCAGAACAGAAGCTAACCTGTTCGCCAAAACCTTCGAGATCCCTTTATAAATTGTGTTACAGCAGGAAATGGGACGGAAATCCTTCATTCTTTCAGCATTTGGGACCTTTGCCACTAGAGTAAAGAGAGTGCAATTCAGAGCCTGTGGCATAATGCCATAAGAAAAGAAAGACAAAGCAACTTCTTGAACTGCATTGCCAATCAAATCCCAGCGCAGTTTAAAGAACTCTGCAGGGAACCCATCAGGGCCTGGAGCCTTATCTCGCCTAAGATTCTTAAACACCTTACGAATTTCCTCCCTGGATATTGGAGAAATTAATGACCTAGCTTCCTC